GCTTTCTCCTTCTCGCGAATGTCTTGAATGATCGAGCTGCGTCCAACCTCTCCGGTCTCCGACACGCGGAAAACCTGCGAAACCCACGGCTGCGGAAGTGCCGTGACCGTGCTGTCCTCGCTGCTAGTGGGTGGCATTGTTATTTTTGTTGAGACCGAGGCGTGCTTCTGGCGGATACTGAGCTCGTGCACGCGCACGCACGGAGGAGTTTTGTAAAGTGGTGGAACCTGTCAGTGACCGCCAGCGGTTCGGTGGGGTTGTTTCGGTTGTGCCTCCAGCTGGCAACGACTTGCACCACTCGAGACGAGTCTGCTACCAAGCGGAGGACTCAGCGACTGAGGCATCACAGACCTGCGCCGGAAGGCGGACGCACACACGCGACGATGTGCCGCGGTCAGGCGAGCTCAAGAACGCCGGCTCTTACAGAGCGGCGACTGGGATGGCGATGCCCCGACACTTTGCAAAAACCAACCGAACCCTCAACCTTTTGCTCGGCGGAAGATCGACACGACGGATTTGATGAGGTGCATCCCGTAGAAAAAGTGTCCGCTCCGCCTCAAGTCGGACAGCCTGGGCCTCACAATTCCTTCAGACACATCCAGTTGAGTGAAATACCGAGCACCCACCGCAGCGAGCCGAGGTCAGGCATGGTCCATATGGATGATCATGCTGACGCAGATCTTTTGTTTGGTGTCGATGTAAAGAGGCTTTCCACACTGCCCCCAGCATTATTACGTACATCTTGTGAAAACATCGAATTGCTGGAACCGGAAGGAGATCGGGTCGGGAAGGAGAACCATTCTGTTGTGCGCTTGCAGGTCAGGCGTACCTGTTCACGTGTTGGCGCGCGTTTGTATGTCAAATAAAGAATACATGTTTACTGTGATCATGTACATGTAGTAAATAGCAATAATCGTATACAAGTTAATGTTGGAAAGAGTGGGTACTTCCTGCTTTACCTACCTACTAGGTAATATGTATAGATCGGCTCTGGTGGATGAAAGTCCTTGACAGTCAATAACTTGAAGCACGCAGTATTCTAGCGACTGCATACATCACAGTCAAGTGTCAAGTCGACACACGGCAAGAAACCAAGACACTTACATGCGTAGTACGTGGCGATTCTGGTTGTTCGCGTACACATGAGTGCTTTATGTATTACGGTTTTGCGTCCGTAACCTGTAGCACACAACAATGTCCTCGCCGTCACTGGCAGTAGTGGATAGTACACATACTAGTAGTACAATACTTAGAATATCCGTCGATTTGGTCTACGGTTCAAAACCGCTACAATGAATGCACTGCTGGCCTTGGTGAACAATGACCTTAGTGTGCAGGTTAGTAAAAAGTCGAGTCTTGACATCAAAGCCATCACGAAAGCACAACAACTCCATTGAGGTCTGCAGAGGTTGTATCCGATATACATGGAATGCGCTGCAGCACGCCAGCGAGTACACCACCACCACGCACCCACCACCACCGCGTGGGTGTTGATTTTCTAAGGCTTAAAAAAAGTGTAATGGTTCGATGGACCACCAGTTCCTATACCTGCCAGGTATAGTAACTGGTTGTAATGCCTGGTACAAGTACCTTTCAACTCTACGAGAGCTTGTGCGAGCCGTCAGCCGTAGCAGCTTAGAGCGATCTTGGGCATACATGTAACTAACTGGTCGAGGAAGGCTAAAGATCTACCGTTTTCACGCGACACTGCCTTTTCTTCTTCGTCCTTACGCCATCCACGTCCGATAAACTTTCACAAAACAAGGGGGGCGTCACCAAACTAATATTACTGCCCCCCCCCCCCCGTCCTCAACAATGTTTTTGTTTTGGTGTTATCAACACGTTGTCCTCTTCCTTCTGTGGGGGTGCAGGCAGGGTTCCGAATAATATACGTAAGTGGAAATATATTCCGTATTTTCCGTGAAATTATTGATTTTGTCTGCACAGATAATAGAATCCGTAATTTACTTTTTTATCTCGACAGACTTCAATATTTTATTTTTTATGTTATACCACGCATCACTAAGTACATAATACTATACCTTAATGAAGAGAATATTGTTACGTATTGACTCGCTCTCCTCCTATCAATTATTGATTTCTTACAGCTTGTTTTACCAGTGCATTACGGATTTATAGTAGCACGGCGCAATCCATATAAATTCAATATTCGGAACCCCTGGGTGCAGGACGCGGCTACAATTGTTATCATACTAATTCGATTCAAATGGATAGCCAATAAAAAAAAAGGAATATGGCAATCATGATTTACAATAGTTATATATAAATTAATGGTGCTAATTCACTAGTCGTCGCCAATTTACATGTTGAACAGATTTTGAAACAAAATCGTGCAGAATTTAGATTTTCTTTTAAAAAAAATCTACAGCTAGTAGTATAAAATACTACTAGCAGTCATATTATGATCTACAAGTGTTTGGGCGAGTCCTCAGCCTCACTGCCACTCTCATCCTCTGAATCCGTCGCCGGCGTCATGTCCATTAACAACGGAGATCCCTGTCCTGGCATACACCTAGCAATGAGCATCCTCGCCGCCATCACCACCCGGTGACGCTTCATCTTCGCCAACGTCGGTACGCCGTCCCAAATGTGGTTGATCGCAGGGTCAAAGTAACGTTGCGGTTGGCACGGACCGCTGATCTCGTCCGAGAGTGGAGGTTTATCGCCCAACTCCTGGAATGCCGCTACAGCCTCACTCGGATATGCGAACCATCGTAGTCCCTCATGAGTGTCCGCTACCTTCTCACCCTGTTGGAAGTCAGACGACGCTGCCTCTTCGATGGAGAGATCTGCGAGTTTAACGGCCTGTTCGAGGTTCTGTCGCCTGTGAGCAGCCAAGTCGCGAATGGGTTCAACGACAATCGACGATCGCACACTCTCCACGTCTTCGATGTGCATGTCCGACAAGCGCTTCTTGTCTGGGAAGGCCACATCCGCCCGAGAAATGTGTCGCCACACTCCTGTACGGCAGCTAAACTCATATTGGGGTAGGAACTTCCAGCCGTGGTCAGCAACAAAGTGCACCGCCTCAAGTACGTAGTCGACCTCACCCTCATCAGCGAAATAGGGGAAGCTCATACGGGCGACTCCCGGTTTGAGAATCTCGTGCTTGGCGACGACTGCGTGGCCCAGATCGACGATGTGATCGCGACTGAGACCCAGCAGACGTGACCCGAACGGACCTGCACATTGACAGCCGCCACGAGCCTGCACTCCGAACATGTCGTTCAATAACGCGCATACAAAGTTGTGGTGTAGGAACCGATCGCCGAATCGAATCATCATCGAGAATATAGGGAGTTGATCCACCTCGTCAGTCTGTCGTCCTAAGAGAATGATGTTCTTGTTGCGACCGAGCGACTCACGGACATGCTGAACGTGTTGCTGTTCGAGTTCCATGATTCGTTCAGGACCCACGTGTTGCTTTAGCTGGAAGGCCAAGCCAAGACGGATGCTGCCCAGAATGTCCGGAGTGCCTCCCTCTTCTCTCTCGACCTTGTTGGCGAGATAACTGTGGGCTTTCTCCGTTACGAACAGCACTGTGCCGCCACCAGGCATCGTCGGCACTTCATTGTTCATCAGGTTCTTCTTTACGACCAACACACCAGGAGAACCCGGTCCTCCCACGAACTTATGACCCGAGAAGAACACTGCGTCCTTGTAAGCTAGCGGTTCGTCCTTGGGGTTCATGTCGATGTCAACGTAAGGAGCACACGTCGCGTAGTCCCAACAGGCCAATGCGCCGTACTTGTGCAGTAGTTTAGACACCTCGTCCACGTTGGTCAACATGCCCGTGAGGTTAGACGCCGCAGCGAACGAGCCGATCTTAAGCGGCCGGTTCTGGTGACGTTGAAGCTGCCGTTCCAACTCCTTCAAGTCGAGACCACCGCCTTCTGCTTCGGGGATTTGCACCTCGTCGGCACAGGGACTCTCCCGCCACGGCAACAGGTTCGAGTGGTGGGAGAACGGACACGTGAAGATCACGGGTCGTTTGTATGGACGGTGGCGTCGACGTCCCTTGTTGATACCGAGAGCGGTGACCAGCTTGTTGATGGCGCTGGTGCAGCCTTGACCAGCGAAGATCACGACATCCTTGTTCTCGCGTGCATTGACGGCACGGGCGATGACTTGGCGAGCTTCTTCTCGGAACGACGTGGTCTGCAGTCCCGTGACGGACGTGGTCGTGTGGGTGTTACCGTAGGTAGGCATGACGTGGTCATGGATGAACTTCTCGATACATTCGAGCGATTTCCCACTAGCAGTGTAGTCTGCGTAGACTTGTGCCTTGGTACCGAATGGGGACTGGAAAGGAACGTTGCGTCCGATCATGTTGTCCGCCATGTCACGTAGGACTTGCTCCACGTCGACAGCCTCAAGCCCGAATGAAGCATCCAACGCTAAGGACGAGGAGCCGGTAGAGTACTCGGGAGATTTCTCCTCTTGGTCGTCATTGTTCTTGCGTAGAGGCTTCTGGGTGCGAGTAGAGGTCGCAATAGTGACAGGTTTTTTCAACTGGTCACTTGTTGTCTGTAGCTCTTGGGTGGTCGCCATGGTGACCGACTTGAGTGGTTAAAGGCGAATTGTGGAATGACAATGGACACAGCGGAGGTCCAAGACGAGATTGCAGCGGCGCTGTTGAGGAAGAGTGAGGCCCGACGTGTATGTCTGTTATCCACTCGAAGTTTTAGGGATCCCGTGGACCTCCATGAACTTTTTGCATTCATGTGTTCGTGTCGCTTCGCGATTGCATTCCGAGCCATTTTCTGTTTGAGCAATCCTGTCATCGCTTATTTTTGCTTGTTTTCCCGCCGTTGCAGGCCAACAATTCCAGCTGGGTTTAGCATAGATGCGCCGAAGAGGTCAGGCACATGCTGCTCAGATACTGGACGTACCAGGTTGCGCTTGACAGTAATTGGCCGGTTGACAGGCGACATATTTACCACGTCTGCGAGAGATCAAGTGTAGAGAGCTTATTGTCGAGAATGGAGCATTTGGCGCAAGCTACGCTGCTTCTTGGTCACATTGGCAGTCACGATAGGAGCTACAGTTCGAAAATATATCGCTTGAAGCTCCGAATCCGCCACCATGTCTGTCATGCGACGTGGCTTCGGCAGACCGTGCCATGTACGTGCGCTTCCAAACGGGTCGATTGGTCTCCAGGTGGTCAGGCGTAGCAGATGACGCTCAAGCGCACATGCATTTCGATCGATAGGATGCCAATTCGAATCGACCGATTCGACTGATTCGTTTGGATTGGATACACTCATCATGCGACTTGTATCACGAGCGAAGCCATGTGTGCATGCATGGCACGAGGCATCTTTCCTACAACACGGAACGCAGCAATCCAGTGTTGCTGGACAGTATTCTTCAAACCGTCATCATTGCAGCTGAGTCCGAAGGCGAAAAGCATGTTTGGAAGCAATATTCGAGGTCAGACTCATTGGGCTCATCCTTCGCACTCAGCAGTAGAATTGTAATGCATTTATGTTTAAGTCATTATTGCTAGCCTAGGTAGTCGAGCATCCCGACAAAACAAACCTCTTGCAGCTGCGGCGCGTTCGATGTGCAGCAAGTGCGACAACAAGCTGATGACACCTCGCAAGGTCAGGCACCGCATGGAGCGAATCCCACTTGCAACACGGAAAACGCGGTGCGTAGCGCGTCCAGGTCGCGGGGTGTTGCAGGGCCACAAGAATCAGAGCTGCATTCGCTTGAGGTCATCCACCGTTGGCATGAACAGAGCCTTGCGGTCTGCTGCTGAGTTCGGGTAACGTTATCTTTGCTTTGATCAGGGCGTGACAATACTCTGGTGCCTAATTCGTGTTATACTGGGGTATATTTACTGTTAATGCTGCAGGGAAATTATTTCCATTGAAGTATTTTTAGTCTTATGCCAATGAGGGAATCATCACTGGAGCTGTCTCAGCACGTTCGGAACGTGTATGTTGCATCGTCTTCGAGCTCTCTAATAGAGAGTCTCTATGCGTCGCGACACATCTCGAAGGTTAGATACGAAGCTGCTTCAAATAACCTTCGTTCTCGAGAATCCTGCGCTGTTGGTTGCGGAGAGCTTCCAAGCTTAGCAGATTGGTCATGATATGTGTGCCGTGAGCTCTTACAAAGAGTTGCGCGCACCGTGTCGATTTAGCTTGTACTTCGAAGTAACTCGCAAGAAAACATAACGCCACCAATTAACGTCAGTCGGTACAGTAAAGATAACATAGGGCATTGCTGTGATATCAAACGCTGGTTACAACGCCAGATACTTGAAGTAAATGAAACCATACCTGCCGAAACGAATGTATCCGACAACAACTACCAGTATAGCCTGCGTAGGTGAGACACAGAATTCTCTGGATATTTATATCCAGTTTTCCGTCGACAATCCTGTCAAATAACATTTTTATGGATATATCTGTAATTATTTGAAACCTAAGAGCGAATTTTTATATGCTAAAATGACGCAGAAATTAATAAACTGTTTTCTTGTATGTCCCAAAAGGTGATTGTTGACCCAATCGGCCTAAAACAACATTCAAGCAACCTTACACGAATGTGATTCAGTCACATTCAAGCTACCTTATGGTTCAACTTAGGGATTGAAGCCACTAGAACGACGGAGCAGTTAGTAAATACGATCACACAAATGTATACATGCATCTCGATGCAGCACATGTACTCAATACGAAATTAACACTGGGATACGTTTGAAATTGATTTAGAGACGGCAAACATCAAATTCTCAACTAAGAAAAGTAAAAAGTCTCAGTGTCGCTGGCGAAGTGGGGGCACATCCTTATTCGTGCTTCAGTTTCTTCCTATTGACAAATTATAATATTAACCCTTTCGCGAGCCACTTTAGTGAACTATAGTATACAAATCTAGGATAGGTGGTATCATAGGAGACATTTTGCCTCCTTTAAGGCGAGTGATTGTCCACCTTCAAATCTTCCAAGTGTGATTTGCTTGGTTTTTCTATGCCCATAACGACCTGTCGTAAACGTACTTAATTATAAAAGGAGGCATTTTGCCTCCTTTAACATGGATACATCGTCGTACTTAGTTGAAAAGCAGGAAAAGGAGGCATTCCTTTTGCTTCCTTTTATCGCGAAAGGGTTAAATATTGAGTATCCAAATATCCAGAGCTTCCGCACGGCATTAGTCAGTGCGAACGGAGCTATCAAATGTGGAAAACGTAACACATGCTCTTTCTTCAGCAATGTCACTTTCATTAGTCAAAATTCATTGTACCTCTCAGAAGCAATAATTAACCTCCCATATTGTATAGCGAAAGGTCACTCTTTTCTGCAACAATGCGAATGCATCGACTCGCGTCATGGCACGCTGCTCGAGTACCGGTGCCGCTGTGGATTTTCACTTCCATCTCGAACTGCACCGAGAAAATGCCCTCCACATCCACCTGCATGAACACCTCCTGCAGCAGTTCCAGTGATTCTTCACACCCGCCGCCTCGCACACGCGCACTTAGAAGCGTCTCTCTCCCCAGCCCAAGCTGTATCGATCACCAGCGCCAATAAGCAGGTAAAAGAGATTGCGTAGGTGGTACGGCGAGAACAACGATGATGCCGAGGCCGTGCGCGAGCTATTGTCAGCGAACGAATGCTAGCAATGAGCACTACATCACCCCGTATATGAGCTGGATGTGTGTCGGAAGGCCCTTCTAGCTACAGACCACGAGCTGGAGTTGATTCGCCGCTGCCGCAGGTGTTCCACAACGATTTCCACGTTCGGATGTCCATACGCTTCCATACCAGGTGGGCCACAACTCGAGCCAGGGCTCGCGCTCGTGGTCTAGCGGGTATAAGATGAGACCAGCGCCGATAATCAGTCTCAATGTGCAGGCTACAGCCATCGTATAAAACCATCACTTGTGAATAGTGACACAGCGATTATTGACGAGCAGGACGTAGCCGCTTAGGCCCCTAGTATCGTCCATGACACGTTGAGAAGGTAATGAATTCTCTAGGCCATTAAATGAGTCCACATATGAGTACTACCAAGAAACCACGCGTTGCATCTGTGTATTCGATGTCCCGAAGCTGATGCATTATTTCAGTAGAGAAGCCGTATTGCTGCTCGGATGTATTGATAGTTTCCTGGTTTTGGAAACGAAACTAAGCCCTCTATTGTAGACACCAAGGAAGTTTGGGGAGGCGACACAGGGATCACTGCAATCTGCTGATTTATGGACTGGATCTGTGAGGCTCACATCCATGTTCCAAAACGAGCCGACAGACTGACAGCAAGCGTAACTCGCTGTCAGTCTAACTGGTTCGATTGACACATTTGCCAGATACCCGACGTCAATGCGCTCCATTCTGGAAAGATAACGCTTAGCTACTTCATTGGACGTATCGTCAGCGTCAGATGTTCAGGTCGCCTCGGACGCTTGTGAGTTGGTTGTCGCGGTCTATCAGCCGACGCACGATCAATAGATGGTATATTGGTGAAAGGGTCGACTGTAGTTCGGGACTGGAATACTGTTGTACTGTAAACAACAAATTGCACAAATCGATGGGTCCGTCAACTTTGGTGTAAGCTATCATTCAGCTCTTCGTCCGTAAACACAATCTCGAGCTTTTGCAGTGCAATTTCTAGCTCAGTTGGAGAGATCCCCGTACAGTAAGGGTTCTAATTTCCAAGTTCTCCAGTTAGGTCACGACTTGGTCTTCTAGACGTGGTTTCGACTCACGCCTCCAGCACTTGTAATTTTCAACAACAAAAAAAAACCGATAATTCGTTGGTCATTATTGTCCTCGTCAGCGCCACAGGCGTGAAAGAGAGCACGCGAAGACGCATGTACTCTTCTCCATACCCTCAATTAAGATTCTGAGGATGCTATCGCCTTGGTGCCACGGCTGGAAACACCGTAGCCTTGCGCCTCTTTTGAGCCTCCCTGGACAGATAAGTCAAATTTGGCTCCAGACCGGCGAAGAATTTATTCCAGGTCAGAAACGTTTTTGGTCATGCCCATTGGTCACGTGGACAGTATGATAAACCTAGGTGGGTATTCGTAGGATATTTTCGGGTCTTTCTTGTATCGGTAGTCCATTTCCCTTTCAGACACGGTAATCATCAACACTGCCGACCGTCTAGTCACCTTATCTGCCCCTCCCTTCCACTTTTCGTCCATTCCAAGCGGTTAAATTGCCACACCATCTATTTGACTTTTATGTTTCCCTATAGAAGCCTTTTGGAAGCATATAAGATGCGACTTGACGCCGTCCGTCTGTTCTATCACTCTTCTTGGTTGGTCTTGCAGCTTAAACTGCTTCAGGTAGACCTGAAGGAGGTTGTTGGTGCTGTCCTCTGGATGTGTATTTCTCTATTGAATTTTGTTTTCATAGCAGTTTGACGGCTTCCAGGTCGCCCTGCGCTGGAAGTACCCCATTGCACAGCGAAGAATATGTGGAGCTCTCTTGAGCTAAGTTCCGCTCGTTAGATACAAGGGATACGCTGCGTTTTTAACACTTCGTGGTGTGTTTAATGGCATTCAAGACCAGCGTTGGGGCAATAGTATTAGGGGTTATCACGGTTTGAATGTTTGAACAGCCAATCAAATCAAACCTTCACTTTTTAACTGTGAGCGCTAGGCGGTGCGCCACTGAGTGTGCAGAAAAACTCTTGGTGTATTCTTATTGGTTGTTATTCGAATGACACTGTTGGCTAGAGTCCTTCCCTCCACGTACATGTAGTTTGAACATATACACTTAGCCACCCCTTCTTACCCAGTTGTTTGGAGTTGCTGGCAGCTGTAGTGACTGCATACAGTTAGGCAGCACCCACTTAACCGTGGTAGTAGTTAGCATCACGTATTCCTTGCGCCGGTGCCACGTGAAACACCACCGCATGTCGTTTTGCGAAAATGTTGAGCTTCCAATCACATCAAACCTTCGGCGCTTTCTTTTTACCAATCATATCAAACCTTCATCTCTTTACCAACCTTCCGATCTCTTTACCAACCTTCCGATTTTTGGAGAAAGGTTCGAGTTGAAGGCAGGTAGATTTGGTCTGATTGGCTACTGAAACCTACCTACTACAGTACATGTAACCGTGATAACCCCTATATGAAAAATTGCTCTGCACAATTAGTATACATGTAGTACCAATTTCGTGTATTGAATTGGTCAAAAAATAGTATACTTGGTTAAATTATGGGGAACCTAAATCGTACTTTACTGAAAAACGAGAGTAAGTTTTGGACAGAAATTGTATCACCAACATAATAGCAATACAATTAACAAAATATTAAAATACAATACTGACATTATATTGGGGCGTATATACTGCAATATATTGATTTCAATAATTGATTGCACAACGCTGCTCAAGATTAAAGACTTGTTGGTCACGTGACCAAAGTGACGTGACCAAAATCGTTCCTGACCTGTATAAAGGTTATCCGAATCGGATAATCTGGGCTTCGTCGACGCTCACTCCACGCAGCGTCATCGACTGTGGGCAGAGAGGGTGTCTAGCTCCCACGAACGACTGCAACCTGGTATTAGGCGTGACTTTTGTCCACATCAAATATGTGCAGTATGACTGCCGTGTGCTAAGAATTTACTCAGGTGCATGGTAAATTATTAATAGGGATCTAAATGAGTGTAGCTTCGTTGTGCATCAATTTTGCGAAATCTCTAAACGTATCCATGGATAATACTGCATGTTCTAAATTCCTGCAGCCGGGTAACGCTGTCTTCCGCACCAATCTCGTCAAGGTTTGTCAAATAGGGCTTACTGCTGTGTTCTGATTCCGCCGTTCGTACATTTTCTCGAATTTGTTGAACTGCCTGACAAGTTTATGTTGCTCGACACCCCTCAACGTTGTCTTCAGGATATTCACTCGAACTTGAGTCGGTGTTAATCCAGCATGGAGCCATAGTTCGGATTTCTGCATTTGTGCAGCTGGCTTTGAAATTTTACTTCCTGGCTGGCTTCTCTGGTAATCAACAACGAACTTGAGATACTGGTCGGAATCCTTGCCGCGCAAAATAGAGCGAAGTGCCTGCCACGGCTCCTTCTTCAGGACATCCACTCGAACCTGGGACGGGTTCAATCCAGCATACAGCCACACTTCGTAGCTCTGCATTTGTGACACTGGCTTTGGAATCTTACTACGTGGCTGGCGTCTCTGGTATTCAACAATGAACTTGAGATACTGATCGGAGTCCTTGCTTCTCAGGATATAGCTTAGTGCCTGCAATGGCTTTTTCTTCGCACTCAGAACGTTCACTCGACTCTGAACCTGGGACGGCGTTAATCCAGCATATAACCACAATTCGTAGTTCTGCATCTGTGACGCTGGTTTTGGAATCGTACTCCCTGGTCGGCGTCTGTGGTATTCCACAACGAACTTGAGATACTGGTCTGAATCCTGACTTCTCAGAATATAGTTAAGTGCCTGCAATGGCTTTTTCTTCTCACTGAGGACGCGCTGAACTTGGGGTGGGCTCAATCGAGCCCTCAACCACACCTGATACTTCTCCAGCTTCGGGGCGTCCTTAACAACCTTTGGTCCACCGAGTTCGATAACAGGCCCCACCTTTCCGAGCAGTCCATTGATCATGGGTGCAAACATCCTCTCGTCTGAATCCTCATCACCGTCGTAGGTCTGCACTGTGGTTCGCAGCAATCTCTTGCCGTAATTGATTTCTTTCTGGGAACCTGAGTGGACTACAAGTGGAGCCTCTTGCTGGAGATTCTTGGCGGTATTCTGGGCAGTGGAGACGATATCGGTGCTTACAAAGAGCGCAATTCCAGTGGCGAGCACGGCGTACGTTAGATGCATGTTTGGCAAGGCTTGTGTGCTGATGAAGAACTCGAGAACTGACAGGGAGCAGTCAGTGCCCAGTAGCACAGATACGGACAGTGCAAATCACCAACACTGTATGATTGCGCTGTTGCTGGTGCCCTGATGCCTTTAGTACCGTAAAAATCTTATCAAAAGGCACCCCTTCTTGCGACGTGGGAGCCTCCCATGGAAAAGCTTCCTACAATAAAAGGACAGCATGCAGTTATTTTACATAGTGGTTATTTTTATACTGGGAATACCTCAGAATGAGGTAATAGACAGCCCTCAACGGATTAATTCTACGGTACTGCGTAAGCGTAACCTCGGTCGACATTCGTACGACATTAATGTAAAGATGGAAAATCTGTTAACAAAATTTGTTGCTGAAAGAGGACTATACATAATTCTCTTTGGGGGGGGGGGGTATTCCCAGTGTAAGTCGCAGACGATCTAGTTGTACAGATTTCCCCGGCAAAGAGAGAAAGGTGGGACCAATAAAGACTACCAGGTTACTAGACGTGGACAAATGCCATAGACAAGTGAATGTATTGATATAATCCAACTAATAGCAGAGTATGTGGCGCTTCTTCATACTGGCAACCTTGCCTTCTGACCGATGGTCAGACGAATGATTTCGCTCTTCGGTTTGCTTGGTGGTATCATGGCAGGTCTTTGAGTAAGTCGTGGTAACAGCCGCCCAGGACATAACTGCAATACAGTATGTTCACTGACAGCCGTCCATTTACCTCTGCTATTTGGAAACTCGCCTGCATGCAACGCGACACTTTCCTGCAAAAGATAAGCTAACTCAGTACATTGGAAAACAGCTGAAGCAAATCCACGGCACACTCGTACTATCTGTGCGCTGGGGATCGTTCTCTCTTTGCCGGGGAAAACTGTACTGAAGTGTCCATGTTATGCTACATTACACATCAATCTTACTTGACGATGTTGCACCTACGGAGAAGAATAGTACGAGTAAATTCTAATCCTGTTGTTAAATACTGCGAAGTACTGTTGGAGAAAGGGATTTGCAGAAGTGTTAGAGCAGCTGAGGAAAGCAAGAATATATGTAGGTAGAAAACTTTGGAGGAGAAGCTTGAATATTGGACTTGTGGGGGACTTGAAAGGAGAAGTAAATTAATATTTAGTGGTGGAGAAGCTGGTGGCCTCGTCCATAATATAGTTTAAAGTAAGACTATTAATTACATTTGGTACAATGTACCAGGATAGCAAGGATGCTATCCTCAACAATTACTACTCTTCGCACGTAATATGCACAAAACCCTCTATGATAGTATATCAAATCCTGATCAGAGATCATACATCGACAAACTGTAGGGAAAACTCTGTCGACCTTTATATCCTTGCATATATCATAGAAAATACTATGATTATCTTTCCGGACCAATCACTCCTGATCTGGCAACCCTGTGTCTCAGGTTTGTGGGTCTAAACATTTTATGACTGGTGTATTTTTTCTTTCACATTTAATACAATACAAATCAGTTGTTGAATATATAACTTATTACAGGTCATCTCGTTTTGATCTGGGAATTTTTCGTTTTGAACCGTGGACTTCTCATTTTGATCTGAAAAAGGTGTACAGTACTGCACCCCGTTTTCGCGTCCTCGGAGCTTTGATAAACTATTGATCTTCTTGCCAAATACCTCACGTTTGAAAGCTAAAACCAGATGTGTTGGCAAATCCTATATGGTGTACAAGTACCTATAAGGTGTACCTTATAGGATTTGCCCTCACATCAGGTTTTAGCATACAAACGTGAGGGTATTTGGCAAGAAGATCATTATACCCAGAAGTTTTCAAGGTCGATTGTGAAACTTTATTTGCAACATAGCTCGGATAAGCTAATTTTCAATAGACTTGTTTGATTGGCTATGTAACGGGGTTATACGCAAGTGGCTACATGTATCCACTTGATTACGACAATGGGTTTCACATTGGTGTGAGATACACCAATGGTTACATTTGACAGACCACTGGTCTGTGTGCATTTAGACTTCCTATTGGTTGAAAGGCGATCTCTTTCAACCAATTAGCTTAGCAGGATTCTGCCAACCACTCGTTGGCAAATACCTTTCATTTAGAATATCACTTTAGGAGGAAACCCAAACACAAAACATAAAACATAAATAACAGTTCTCATTTTTACGGTAAATCAGCTTTTGCTTACTTATTTAACCCCTTTAGCCCCGCCCATTTAGGGCAAAAGCTACCCTGTATGGTACAGGATTATACAATATATAACCTTTACTATAAGCGGAGTTTTTGCGAGGATTTGCAATTTTGCCGATGGAAACCTGTCAAAGACAGGATAATAGGAACTAATTTAAAGTGCGTACCCTGTATTCTCCACGATAAGCACCAAACAGTTCGTAGACAATTTTGACAAAATTTGGGATGCACCATCTCTCACATCAATAGCTGAAAACTACACGACACAACTGCTAGAAGTCACCACAGTGTTGTCTCCGTTGGTACTTCCCTCGGTCACACTTCTGGCGACGCTCTGAGTACCTGGCGGTGCTCGAAGACGAATACTCTTGGCACCGGGAGGTATGTTGGCTCCAGCTCTCCAGAGATCATGCCAAATTTGGCTGAAGGTAGCTGAATTCTTGGGACCGTCGGGATCATGCTGACGCACTTTTTGACACAGGTAGATTTTGCCACGAGTCCCTCCCTCAGACTCATCACTGCTGCCGTCTTTGCCGTCTTCTTCTCTTGCTTTACTGGTCTCCTCTTTTGCGAGCGAGCACTCGACGCAATAGTAAGTGGTTTCCCACGCGGAAGCCCCAACACGCAGTATAGAACAAACCTTGCACGCATACTGGCGACGCTTTGTCCCCTCCTTGCCATCTTTTGTCCTTTAACGCCGACGTGATTCCACTTGTTCCAGTGTGTGCTTGGCTGGTAACGCATAGCGCGGTACGGAGCAGCTTGACACAGGTCGATCTGCTAGTGCTTCTACGCTCAAGTCGCCTTCAAAAAACAGCTGGTCCCATGCTTAGCAAAGCTGCTTGCATCAATCCCATGAACTCAGCATGTGTCGGAGGAGCCTTTCCAGCGTTCAATCTACTTTGTTCATGGCGGTAGATTATGTAGGCATTCACGAGCGACATATCGACAAGACCCAGGATGATCGTATGATAGTATTTTTTCATTTTCATCGCTCCCTGTATAATACAGCATAAACCAAAATAGCGTTAGGTACCAATTGTGTAATATACCGGATACGGAAAACAAAACAACTAACCTGTATAGAATATCGTTGCAGACGCAACTGGTCATGAGTGTCCGCTCCCCCCATTCCGTTCTGGTAATCCTTGATAAGCTGTGGTGCAGGGACTTGAACAATATCGGCACCTTGGCGGCGTGGTAGAGTAGTCCTTTTGATGCTGCAGCCGGTCGCAATGAAGTGCACGGGTCGGTTGTCCATCCAAGATACTGCAACCATCATTGGCTCCACCTTAGATACAGCAACTCTATAAAGCCCACGAGTCATTGACTTGGGCCTTTTTGCTTGCTTGTAAGGGATCACTTTGCAGTAACCGCGTCGATTCGTTTGAATTGTACCCACGTGGTACAAAACGCTGTAGTAGAATAGACGATAGAGCACGCTGGAGTAAAATCGATCTGTGATAATCAAGCGGCGCTTCGGCAGCCCGTCCAGCACCAGATCAATATTCCGTATTACCGCGTTGGGACCTTGGTTGCGGTCTTTCTTGTCGCTGTCCAGCTTGCCTTGATATATTTCGGCGCTATACAGGATAAACCACCTCAACAGTTAGACACTATCCTGTATAATACATCACACACCAAAGACGCACCGGTAACAGTAGCCAGTGTCAGCATCACACGTCATGAAGCACTTGGTTCCCCATGGATGGGGTTTCCCTCGCAGATACTGTCGCATCGGGTTATATCTGCTGCGCATGGGTATCATGCCTTCATCAAATGATATCCGCTGGCCGACAGTCATTCCGGTTCGAAAGCTTTTGTTGATAGTGTCCGTGATGGGCTTGACCTTCCACGTCTTGTAGCGCTGAGCATCGGGGTGGTTGTTGTCACTGAAGTACAGGAAACGCACGATCTCCTCGAATCTTTTTCGTGCCATGTATCTACCAAACATGCCTTTTGGTACGGCACCCCTTGCTTCCACAGACCAGCGCTTTGTCAATCGCTCTCGATGAGGGCAGAGCGTCCTCGCACACAGAAGCCCGATGAAGTTGACTATCTCATGGGGCTTGAACTTCTTGAATGTGGCCAGCTCTCTCTGCACTTGCTGGATTGTCTTCATCTTGTAGTCAGGTCGCCTCTGCTTGATCTTACGTTGGCGCTCCACCATTTTATCCGCACAAAGAGCTCGATGCTGGACTTGGTACCGACTTGACTCCACGGCAATGTCTATCCACAATTCTTTAGGAAGAAATAAAAAGAATAGACCTTCGAGTGGTGAGCTGAGTGCTTGTGCAAGTTCAGTTGAAGCAGTAACACAGTTAGCAAACAGGCCTTCTTGTACGTTTGGAACTTGATCTGGTTTGCATCGCATACAGGATACGTGGTTAGTACTATACTGTACATATCCAGGATGGGTAGACTGTACCATACAGGATAAGGGACTCCTTATCCTGTATAGCGCAGATTAGTACGTACTCTCAGCCTCCAAATACTTAGTCCATCCAGTCTTCGCATGAGAGCTCAGCTCTTCTTTGGACATGCTATCAAATGGCGTCCCAACCGACAAATCAGTGGGCTCTTCTTCATCACTTGTAGCGTCACTCTCTTCATCATCTTTGGAGACGTCGCTATTAGCTTCAATGTCGATGTCTTCATTGTCATCTAACTCGCTTTCCTCACCCGAGCTCAGCCGATCGTTTCCTGTGGAAATGTCGACCGCCTCGCTCATGCGAGGTGACGTACACACGATGGAAGCTTCGGGTGCTCTACTGCGCGCGGCACTTAGCAAGGTTTCCCTGCAAACCCTCGAAGGTGTTTTGGCGGGGGAGTCGGACTGTGTCAAGGGGTAGGCTCGCGAAGGTGTCTTTGTAGAAGG